TCAGGTGAGTCCCACATGTCGATCACACCGCGATCCTGAGCGAGTTCTCGAGTTTCGAGGTCGTCCAGTGCCGCCTGGCGCGACATTAAGAACCGGAATGCATTCCTGCCTGAGTCATAGGGGGCAATGTTGCTGGCGCCGGGCAATTTGGGTCGCGCAACGGAATGCACGCCGTCTGCGGCGATGACGACGTCACCCTGAACCACCTGTCCGTCCCCGAGTGTGACGGTGGCACGGTGCGGATCAATGTCAACAACTTTGCTAGAGGTGTGCAGCTCAGCGGGAATGCCGGAGCCTAGTGCCAGAGCAGCAGCCTTGAGACCTTCATGGAGATGGGCGCGGTGTACTAGAAGCCATTTCTGCGTGTTGGTTGTCAGCATCGCTAGGCATCAAGCAGGACAATGAAAGCGGCTCACGTTTCGCCACATGCTGGCGAGCTCGGTCACTCGAACGATTCCAAGGACCTTGCCGTCGGTTGAGCGCTCACGAATCTGTCAAGTCTTTAAGCATTTGGCCTTGCCTGACCTGGCCGATGTTGAGCACGAACCATTTCTGCTTCGACCGCTCCGAACTTGGTCGCATCCACCCCGAGCCGTAAAAGGACACTGTTGGCATTTGGAGAGAGGTGAATGGCTGCTCCGATTTCATTCGCAAAGCGGCTTCGCTCGAACAACTATGAACGTGTCAGACTTAGAGTTCACTCCAGATTCGAAGGAGAACGCCGAGCAGGATTCACTCACGGTGACGCGGTGGCCTTGTCGTCTGAGAGCAATAGCTGCAGTCAAGCCGCCAATACCAGCTCCCACTATCAGAATTTGGAGGCTATCCTGGTTGGTCCCGTTCAAGTCGTTGCTCCCCATGGTGGTTGAAACTCCTGGTCGGAACTTACAAAACGGAAGCTGTAAATGTAACTTTCCTTGAAACAGGGCCTCTCCCTAACTTAGCCTGGCTCCGCTTTATTTGAGAAATTTGAACGCAGAGTAGTAACATGCCATTGCCCCCGCTTCGAGGAGAAGTCGAGGAGACATCGTGGGCGGCCATCGGCTCCGCATTTCGGCTCCACATGCGCAGAGGATAGAGAGCAGTCACCCGCTGATGCGGACATAAGCCCTTTGACGGATCGGATAGCGGGACTAAATTGTCTTGTGTTTATAATTTAGTTATCACACATGCTATCGGGAGCAACACTTCCTTCCCTTTCATCTCAGATTCTCAAAAGCCAAGCGACGTCATGCCGAATCCAGTTCGTGAAGACATCACCACGAGGGATGATACTTCATTCCCCTACATCTTTGAGCAGAATGTCACCATCCAGCTGAAGGATGGCTCCGGTCTGGTGCGCTGCAATGTCTATCGTCCCAAAGACCTTGAGAGGGCTCCCGTTCTGGTTACTTACGGGCCGTACGGCAAGGACATTCATTACCGAGAGTATGCATGGTCTTATTGCGCCGCTGTTCAAGTACCCTGATTGCTGACCCGGCTAGTTTCCACCCCACATCATTCAGCGAAGTCAACCCCGAGCACCACTCGGAGCATTCCGCGTGGGAGACGCCCGACCCTGGTTTCTGGACCAAACATGGCTATGCGGTTGTTCGAGCGGACGAGAGAGGAACAGGTCAATCACGGGGCAAGCTGGATACCATGTCACGCGAAACCAGCGAGGCTTTTTTCGACGTCGTCGAGTGGGCGGCGGAACAGCCATGGTCGACCGGTAAAGTCGGTCTGCTGGGTATCAGCTACTACGCGGGTAGCCAGTGGAGAGTAGCCGCGCGCCAGCCCAAGGGCCTCACCTGCATTATCCCCTGGGAGGGCATGTCGGACTACTATCGGGACCGTTGCCGTCATGGAGGCATTCTCAGCAACTCCTTCATCAAATTCTGGTGGGACCGGCAGGTTGTCAGCAACCAGTACGGTCTCCCCGGTCGCGCAGCGCGTAACTGGGGCCCCGATACCATTGAAGGCGACCTTCCGGAGAGGGAGCTGGAGGCCAACCGACAAGATCAGACGCTCGACAACGCCAAGAATTATTTCCGCGATGATATCTACTACGCGTCCAAGGAATATACACAGTCTGACATCCAGGTGCCATTGCTCTCCGTCGCAAACTGGGGTGGTATTCTTCTGCACCTGCGGGGAAATGTGGAGGGCTACACGCAGGCAGGCAGCGAGCTCAAGTACTTGCGATTTATCACCGGTCGACACGACCTTCCATTCTACTACAAGGAAGAAGTCGAGATTCAGTGTAGCTTCCTCGATGCGTTCCTCAAGGGTGATGATCGTGTCGGCTGGAGCAACGGAACGGCGCCAAAGGTAGACATTGTTCTCCGCAAGGGTAACGTCGGGTTCGACAATGCGGAAGCCGAGAAACAGTTTCCTCGTCGTGTTGAGAATGAATGGCCCATTGCTCGGACGCAGTACACCAAGTACTACCTGACGTCCGACCGCGAACTGGTCACTGAAGCCAGGCAGGAACGACCGGTGAAGATCACCTACCGTGCTCTGGGAACATTGGATAACCCCCAGCTTGTGCAATTCACAACTGCGCCATTTGAGGAGGAGACGGAGATCACCGGACATATTGTCGCGCATTTGAATGTGTCGATGAGCCCTGACCCGGGTGCACCGACACCGCGGGACATTGATCTGTTCGTCACGTTGCGGTACATCTCACCTGAGGACAAGGAGGTCTTCTACACCGGCACGGCAGGCGACCCGGTACCTCTCTGCAAGGGATGGCTGCGTGTCAGCATGCGAAAGGTGAACAAGGAGCATTGCCGTCATCGAACCTATCTGCCCCACCGCGACTACTACTCCACCGATGTGCTGCCAGTGATTCCGGGCGAGGTGTACGGGGTCGATGTGGAGGTGTGGCCCACGAACGTGGTCGTGGAGAAAGGGGGCAAGGTCGTTTTTGAGGTTTCGTCTGGGGACACCCAGGGCTGCGGTGTTTTCCAGCATAACTCCCCGACTGACCGGTAGGCCGCCTTTTCTCACTGGTCTTTATTTATGCTGACTTGGACAGAGCACCGGAGAAATTTCAGGGTCAGAACCATATCAACTTTGGACATGGCGATAACTATGTGGTCCTGCCCATCGTTCCCCCGAAGGCATACAGATATGACTGAGATGTGATAGTTGCATTCGTATGAATATACCCCATGATTAGATGAATCGGAAGAGTCCGGCTGTCGCTCCTAGATTGATAATCCTGCAGGAAGTAGACTCCCGGCCGAAGCGCTAGGGCGAGAGAGAACCCTAACAAATCTCCGCTCCCGATGTGGTCCCGAAACAACGATAGTATGCCAATTGGAGTATTACACAAACATGAAACTACAGTAGGAGGGGTATAACTACTTCAATCCCCTCTGTATCTTACACAAACACACAAGACAGAAACACAACGTCCTCTAATTCTACCCATATCCCAAGCCATACTATCCGAAATGTCCTCTCAACCCAAGAACATTCGGCCCCTCAAACGCTATATCACCACTCACGATGTCTCCGGCAAGGCCATCTTCTCCGGCGCTCTGTCCGAGGAAATGCCCGTAACCACCATCCCGGATGGCGCCGACTTCAGCCTCGCGTACACGTCCTCGCACTTCCCCGCCAAGCTCAACAACGAGGCCGACATCCCCGAGTACGCGAGCTACCTCTCGAACCCGCCTGGCATCGTGATCAGCACGGGCTCCGTGTGCCGGATCGTGGATATGCAGCCTGGGGCGACGAGCCCGATGCACCGCACCGTGAGCCTGGACTATGGGGTTGTGCTGGAGGGGGAGGTCGAGCTTGTCCTGGACTCGGGGGAGACGAGGCTGATGAAGAGGGGGGATGTGAGTGTGCAGCGGGGGACAAACCATGCGTGGAGGAATACGAGTCAGACGGAGTGGGCGCGGATGCTGTATGTACTTATGCCGGCTGAGGAGATAGAGATTGGGGGGAAGAAGCTGGGAGAGGATTTGGGGCATATGGGGGTTAGGGCTAGTACTTGATTCTGTTTCTGCTTCTGCCCTGCCTTGTGAATCGAATGGATGGTTTTATTTTAACATTTTGATTGTGAGAGGAAATGAAGTACTTGTAGACTGGTATTGTCTGCTAGACGCGTACTGGACGGCTCAGACAGATGCTGATATGATTAAAACTCCCCTCCGATATCATACCGGAAGATCCGGTCGTTGATTCTTCCCCCTGTGAGCCTCCACAGGCGAGCAACAGCCTATGGATAGTTAGTAGACCCCTGGGTGACGTTCATGAAACTGGGCTGAACCGACCGCGTTCAACCACACCCCGTGCAGCATCACCTGGATAAACACAAATTCTCCGGGGTTGCTCCCCGCCGGTCTCTCGCTCTGGTCTAGGTCATGGTTCGCAGGACGGTATGCTGGTACGCGACGGTAATTCGACGGCCAGTTGGCGGGTTGAGCTGCTTGCGAGAGAGGGGCTTGTCCAGACGCCTGGGGTTCTTCGCTGCCGCTATGGTGGAGTTCATAGTCGGCGAGGATGGAGAGGGAGTTGGTGCTTGTCTGGGTGGTTGTAGCTGTTGTCGCCATGTTGACTCGAGTTTGTAGTCTTCAGATTCTTGATAATAGTCGAGGAGAATGTATGTAGGATGTGGTTAGATCTCGACAGCATTACCTGTAGTCTTGCACAAGATACAACATACAATCGGGTTATTCGGAGATATGGCCTTGGGAAATGAACAGAGGCTAAGATGGCTCCCCCACATTTTTATCCGTTCGGAGATACAAAATCGAAGGACCAAGAAGATAAATTAAAATGGTCGACTGATCTTTGGCCCTCGGGTTGCCCTCATTTGCAGCTCCCCCACCTCCCGAAGCGGAGTAGCTGACTGCACGCTGCAGCATAGTTTGATTAGGATATGAACATAGGAGAAAGTTTCCTCTGAGAAAGGCTTTGGACCGTCTGAATCTGACTCTGGGTACTGACATTGTATCTTCTTTGTAGTGACTGGACGGTGCAACACATCTTGACCGGCAACGATGGTCTCCTCACAGTTCTCCCGGCTACTCGCAGCAGAGATCGACGGCCGTACCCAAAACACCAGATATTGTCAGAATGAGTTCCATCGCCTCCAATCGGCCCTCAGCCAGCACATCGACGAGATCCAAGACGCCATCCAGAAAGACTCCGGGAATGAACCCGAAGAAGTCCGCGCGGAGCTGTGTCTCGCGCTCAAGGAGATCCGCACACACTACCAGACACTGAGTCTGGAGAAGGACCTTGAAGAGGAGTATCGCGTTGTAGCTGGCAAGGACAATGCGGACGCGAAGCGCGGCGCAGGCATCGTCTACATTGTCCCCAGCACACATACCATGTTTTATTCCATTGTCTCAGCGCTCAGCGCGGCATTGGCGGCTGGCAATTGTATCATTCTCGAGGTGCGTTTGACTCTCTCAGAGATCAAGTGAGATAGACTGACGGTAGCAGTTGATGAAGAATACCATGGTACTGCCAGCTGTGCTGCGCAGAATTCTCTCCCAGGCCCTAGACGCGGATACCTTCGCCATCAGCGAAGAGAGACCCGATGCTGCTTTCCTCAGCAGGGTGCTCATGGTCTCCCAGACCGGTTCCGCGCCGCTCGCCGAGCGCAGTCTGCTCTCGCCTGCGAACGCGCGAACTGTGGCTGTCGTCGACAGAACGGCAGATGTTGCAGCCGCAGCTGAAGCGTTGGTCGCCGCGCGTTTCGCCTTTGGTGGCCGGTCGATGTATTCCCCTGATATAGTGCTGGTTAATGAGTTTGCGATGAAGCGGTTTGTCGAGGCGGCTATCCAACAGGCGTCCAGATATCTGGCTGGCCCGAATGGAGAGACACGCCAGGGAGCGTCGAATCCCCGTCGGTTCGGTCCAAGTGCCTCGCTTCTGGATGCTGCGCATAAGGACGCGGGTGCTCGCGTGCTAGTCTCTGGGTCTGGATGGGGGGTGGTGGAGGTCCATGATCGGTATGCTTCATCCTGTTGACGGTGGCTGCGGCTAACGTTGACTACTATAGAAACTCGCCTCTCCTGACGAAAAAGGTGCAGGAGAAAGTGCTCATCCTTCATCCTGTGACAAGTCTAGATGACGCTATTGACGTTAGCAACTCGTAGGTCGCGCTTCTTTCCCTAGTCTATTATCGCTGACGTCTTCAGGAGCGGCACACTGGCAGCGACATACGCGTTCGGCAGCCCCTCCGCTGCCAAATATATCACTCAGTTTATCGACGCCTCCATTTCGTGGATTAACCATGTCCCCTTCGACATGCTCAGTAAGTCCTCCTTTCCGTTCCATTGCATCCAGCTAACTGACTCAGTTGGCCCGGCCTACCCCATCAACATGGCCCCCAGCACCGCAACCCGCTACACGCCCGCTCTCTTCCAGGTCCCCCGGCCCCAGTTCGTCGCCGAAACAAACAACTCCGCTCTGGTGAAAAGTATTCTCGACCCCTCAGACGCCACGAAATCGGGAAACGCCTGGCGCGAGGCCCTTGCCGCCTTGCCGTCTACAGGCCAGCGCCCCGGCTGGAGAATCGGGTTCTTCGAGCAAGGGATAATCACTGGTGGGGTGGTTACGCTTGCGACGTTGGTAGCGGCGGTGTCAACTGTGGGGTGGTACACCTTTTCGTATGTGAGGAGGTTGCGTGCTTAGAGTAGTTTGGGTGCTGTGTAGTATACTTTGTGTATTTGTTGGTCCTCGGTATATAATTGCTGCAACCATTGCATTTTATCTTCGGAATCTAGCTTTTAATTCTACTTCTGGTTTTCAGTTGTTTGTGAAGGATATCAGGGCGTTATCGTGTAGGACCACGACTACCTTTCGACAATATATATTTTCTCACAAGCATTTGAAACACGCAACAACATTGCAAAGGAGATTTGACTCACATGATAGGGAGCAGAATCATCTTGCTTTGCAAATAGCTATAGCTCAATCTGATCTATCGTGGTAGGAAAGGTAGGCTAAAAATTGAAGCGGATGACCAACTTTATGATAGCTTTGACCGACAAGTGCCTTTGGCTGTTCAAGATTTACAGGGTATAATGCAGACTCTTGTTGTTGTAATTCACGGCTGGTGGATTATATCCTTAATGAATGGCTAGATAACGACTAAACTGAAATATCCCTGGACCACGACCCAAGAGTGAACTGCGAATTACACATGTTGGTCAATTCCCAGCTCTCCGCACCCATCACAGCCGGCGACCCCGTATCCTCGAAATCCCCCATCGCTCCGGCCACAAACATTGCCGCCATGAAATGGTCATCCGTGGCATGCGCATCACGGTACTGGGGATGCTTCATCAACCGGGTCATCGCGCGCCGCAGCGCTGGCCCAGAGGTCTTCGTGATGACGTCCTCGACCGCCTGGCGGAACTCTAGCGCCCACTCCTCTGGCGGCGTCTCCATGGCGAAATTATCCCGGAAGCGCACCATGGGTGCCCAGCGGTTGCGGTAGAGGTTGTGAACTGCGCCGCCGGTCCCGATGAGGAGGTAGTTCTCATAGCGGAGGGGCCGCAGCGTCGCGCCGACCTTCATATGGTAGTGTGGATCGTAGCGGGCGTTCATAGAGATGATGGTCGTCGGGGGGCAGCCGTTGGGGAACATGTGGATGAGGATCAGGTAGACGTCGTGGATCCAGTCGAAGGTTGGGTTGCCGCTGGCGTTGAAGCCTTCCTTGATGAGCATGTCGATGCATCGTTGGGCAGTCTCGAGGTCTGGGTTCAACTTGTATTTGATGTATTTGTCGGGGTGGACGTAGGCGACAGGCGACTTGTCCGGGTTGGGGTTGGTTGCGACCTCGATCTTGTCGCCGAGACAGTCCCAGTGTGCGCCCTGATGGGTCAGTTTGTCGTCAATATTGAAGCCTGAAGGGGACTGACCATGATGATTACGCCTTTAATGTTGTGAGCCAGCGCTTCCTCACCAGTCCTCCTCCAGTAGTCTGCCGACTCGGACTTCTCTCCCAGCATCATGGTCGAGCCATGGGAAAAGAAATGAACGGGTGTGAGACCTATCTTGTCAGCTATTATTCTGCGAATGCCGTACAGAGAGCCTGCCATACCCATGTTTGCTTTGAGTTGGTCTTTCTGCTATACCGCGAGTGTTGATGCGCAGCCTTCGAGATATCTATCAGACATTATCGAATTCAAACGATTTCTAGCTGCATTATTATCCGGCACCAACCCATGTCCAGATCTGCCACGCAGTTTCCGAACATCTTGGCTGAGGTCTCTGGCTGAAATTGTTCGGGTATGCGACTCCACATTCCGACGCACCTCCGCACTCTGACTCGGGTGGCCCCAAACGAGGACATCCGAATGGCCGCGTAGTGCTCATCTCCCCACCATGACTTGCAGTGATTATAATTCTATCAATTGTCCTGCTGGATGCCGGACAGCGTATGAAGAGTGAAGTCCTCCGAAGGTTGAACTAATAGTGTTGAACTGCCTGTGCCATGGGATCTTCAGAACCAGGATTGGCATCATCTCGTTGGATGAGAGGAGCATAGCCCCGTGACTTTCAAGCTGGGAACGTGAAAGAGATAGGACTGTCAGATGCGGTCCGAGTATCATTAGTTATGGACCTGTAGTTATTCCAAGACCAAAGTCAGAAATGTGAGTGACGACAGGGAACAACAGGCCTCAGGCAGTAACCATGGGGGCAATTCTGCTTCCCCGCATATCCAGCATTTTAGCTTCATCCACCCCAGTTTCCCGCATTCTCTCTGCTTCATCATCCGCTACTCACAGCTGCACATTCGAATTTCTCCTTCTGTCTGACGGTAATCATGTCTCGAATCAATTCCCTTACGTAGAGTTTCCTCAAAAGATTCGTGTATCTTCGCCATGACAATTGACTCCCCGCTCCCCATTCTCGACAACTCTCCCCACAGCTCCCTCGCCAGGCAGCGCGACGGCTATTTCCAGTGCGGTTCCTGCGAAAAAAGATACAACCGAGCCGACCACCTAATCCGTCATGTTCGATCACGTCAGTTCTTTTCATGTAGACAGTGCTGTCAATGCAGCCGGCTAATTTCCCGTAGATACCCGCGAGAAGCCATATGTATGTGACGTTTGCAAGAAAGGCTTCGCCAGGCCGTGAGTTGTCTCTTGAAAAGTTTATGCCCCGACAGAAAAGTCACAGCAAATTTGTGTTGTCGAGACTGAATCTGTTGCAGGGACCTGATGAAGCGACACGCGGCCGGTCATATTCAGCCACGCGACAGCAAACGACGGCGTCTCCCTTCCTATCCCAAGAATGGTCGTGTGTCGCAGGCCTGTAAGACCTGCGCTGCATCGAAACTCAAGTGTGACGAGGAGAAGCCTTGTCGCCGATGTCGGGAGAAGAAATTGGTCTGCGATTGGGCGCAGGATGGCAGTTCGATCGACGCATCTCCTCCTCAACCACAACGGCAAGGTGTGTGCGAGAGTATTCAGTTGACAAGGTTCAGAAGCTAATGGGATTTGCAATACAGCATCCCAGAGCGACCAGGCGCCATATCTTCCTGTCGACGCGTCACAGGTGCACACCACGATCCCAACCCCGATCGACGGGCAAATAAACCACTATCCGAACCAGATGGTCAGTCCAAACGCGCAGATGAACAGTTACCTACCTGTGGGGCTTCAATCTGGGTCGCCTACGATAGATCGCGAGAGTGGCGTGTTCAGTGTCGACGGTACCTTCTTTCCCGACTTTATCCCGGACTCACTGATACCTTCATTGACCCGAACCAGCGATCTGGACCCGCTGCCTGTCCTTCCACAGGACTACATCCACAGTGTATTTGACCACAATGTTGACTTTGACTTCGATTTGACCGACGTGGATTATGGACTCATTGACCTTTTCAACTCTCGGGGCGCTGTCCATCATAATGCCCACAATAGCGACGATCGTGGTGATGCGGACAGCGGCATTGCCATCGGTGCCGAGGCGTATCATCGGTCATCTTTGTCTGCGTGGAAACCAGCCCACGAAGATCATGCGTTTGCCGACCAGGAAAATCTATCTGTTCCAGAGGCGATTGACAGCCCTGAGGCCAATTTCAGACCGGACTGTCAGATCCTTTCGGAGCGGTTGTCCCCAAGCGGTCGTGATCTCATTTTTGGCATGGTTCTGCAGACCAGCCAGCGAGCCAATCTAACTCGCATCATGAAATCCTTCCCGAGTACCCAACTGCTGGACAGTTTGATCCAGTACTATTTCGATTCCCAAAGTTATCACATAGACTCCTGGATCCACGGACCGACCTTTCGGATGAATGACGAGCCCCCCGATATGCTTGCCGCTCTTGCCGCTGCCGGAGCCGCTCGGTCGACCATTCCGACTATCCGCAGGTTAGGTTATGCGTTGATGGAAATAGTCCGCCTCCAGATGTCGGTAAAGGTTCGTTGGCGTCTGTACCTCCTGGCGCGAAGAAACTAGCTAAAGACGCTCACATGTAGTACGAGAGCGACAATAGCACCACACGCGATCTGCGCGCCTCGCAGACGTTTGCTCTGACCCTCGATGTCGGAATATGGAGTGGCAACGCACGGAGGACAGAGATTGCGGAAAGCTTCCAGCAGCCTTTGGTCACGGTTTGTCAATCCGAAGGACCTGTGGATACAAGTTCACTGACGATCCCAATCTTAGATGATGCGACGCGGCTTACGTTTTCGACGCTCGGTCTATTCCAACCTCGCCCTGAGCCCCGACGACGATGGAGACATTCTGGAGAAAAAGTGGTGGGATTGGGCTTATTCTGAATCATTCAACAGGTAATAGTTGCTTGCAGCTGGACCAACTGGTTTACTGATTTTAGACAGACTCGTGCACCACATGTTTCTGCATGATGCCCAGTCGGCGATGATGTTGAACGTGAACCCAATAATCTCGTACTCCGAGCTGGAACTTCCTCTGCCTGCTCCTCGCTCGTTGTGGGAGGCCAAATCTGCCAAAGACTGGAAGGAAGCGTACTTGGCGAGTGGACTGTCGAGCCGTGGCCGAACACCCTCGTTGGTTGACACTCTACAAGACATGTCCCAGTTGTCGGCGTTTCAATCACGAATCGATCTTCAACTGTCCACCTTGGCCCTCATTCACGGTCTCTGTACGCTCATCAGCGAATACCATCGTCACAAATTTATAACGAAAGGCCGTTCTAAACATTGGAGTGCTTTGGTGATCAGTTCACGACATCAAGAGTTGTCACAAGCACTACAACATCTACGCATGCTTTGTTTCGAGATGTCTAGTGCTCTCGGGCCCGCGATTGTTTTGGTCTTTGAACTCATTTCCATGTTCCTCCACATGTCGCTGGAGGAACTGCAGCTGTTCGCAGGCAAGGAGGATAAGAACGAAGCCCGTCGGGTATACCAGAGCGCGCTCGAGTGGATCAGCAGTGTCGACTCGCGACGAGCGATTTGGCACGCCGGCCAAGTGATACGGGCGGCCAAAGTCATGCCTCCGGGCTCTTTGACTGGGTTCTTTGCCTTGGGAGTCTACTACGCTAGTCTCGCGTTCTGGTCCTACAGTGTTGTATCGAAAGCCAAAGATTCTCAAGCGGTCGTCGGCAGTCCGCCATCGGACCCGCACTTCCGCGGTTCCTGGCCCACAGTCTATCTGGATGGTGAAGAAACGACCGACGTGCAAAGGTTCATCTC